CCCCAAAACCCCAAAACCCCAAAACCCCACATCTTGATCTCTCTACTGAATCATTAAAAATCAAACCCTAAGCAAAATTACACAATTAAAATTACCTTATTAGTAATCCGACTGCCAACTATCGTCAGATCATTCTTCATCTACTAATATCACACCTAAACTCTGAACAATTAACTGTACCGCCTACACATTAACACAAAACCTTACTTCCAAATACAAGCTCGATGCGGCTGAAAGCTTGCTCTATCAGCTCTTCCTCTGACTTCTTCATGGTCACCATACAGAGATAGAGTTTGGAGGTCATGTTGGACTTGAGGTTGAGGATGTGGGGCAGGTACGGAGTTATGGGTTTAGAACTTGGGTAGAAGCTGATGATAAGAGTGGGGAGTTTGGGAGGGATGCAGGTGGAGAGGAAGTGGATGTTGTCAGCTGTATGGGAGGGAGTGATGGGAGGGTGGGGAAGGAGAGAGGGAAATATACCTCAGAATGTCCAACCCTTCAAAACTCAATCAAACGCTTATCTTCGCTGGTTAAGTTAATATTGTACATAGTCAATTGATCTAAATGGCTGAGCATTTGCTTGTTCACTAATGCAGGCATCGCCTTGTCCACTTTATTGTTCATGTTGAGCGTAATGTTTTTACTGGTTAAAAGTTCGCTTAAGAATTCAGTCTCTTCCTTGGTCAGCTATGTTGGTTAGCCAAGCTTCAAGCTTTCTTACGTCAACTCCATTCTTGTTTGCTAATATCCTGAGAATTGCAAACTAGGCTTTGAAATGAAAATTACTGAGGCCTGGTTTTGAGTTATGACTTCTTTGGTCATACTTTGAGTCTTTTGGATTTCATCAATTGATTTTAGAAAGTCTTTGTTTGAGGTTTGACTTTCTGTATAAAATAATGCTTGATATTGAGAACTGGGAGAAATAATATTATTGATTTTTAATACGATAAATACCTTTGAGAGACTCTAACAAATCTTTATTCGCTTTCTGGTTTTGATTCTGGATAACTTTGAAAAAGTCAATGTCCATCCAGACATTTTCTATACTCTCAGAGAGAGCTTGCTGTAAATTTAGACAAGTATTTTGGAGGTGCTTGAAAGAGTGTTCATATTTGCCGTCTGTTTGGGAATGAGATGTCTTTAGTTGCTCCATGCTTGTTTCTATGTGTACAAGTTAGAAGGGAGAAGTAGTGAGATTAATAATGTGCATTTTTGGGAAATATGGTATGTAAATTAGGAAACATACGCGAATTAGTAGCTACTTCTTTCGTGTCTTGGAAGTTGCTTCTGAGATCTTCAATTTGACTAGGTTGTGCTTTGTTTTTGCTTTGAGATTTGGCAAGCTCTTTTTCTAGTTTAGTATTGTTATCTTTGAGGCAATTTATTTGAGCAGTCTGATGCTCAAGCTCTTTCAAGTTTTCTTTGGCAACTTCAAGTTCACTTATAAGATCCCTCTTCTCAATAACAATAAAAGTATTTTGAGCTTTGAGCTCATTATTTTGAGTTCTGAGTTCATTATTTTGAGTTCTAAGTTCTTCATTTTGGCTTCTGAGTTCATTATTTTGAGTTATAAACTCGCCATTATGACTTCTGAACTCGTCATTTTGAGTTCTGAGCTCGTCATTTTGGGCTCTTAATTCACCATTTTGTATTCTGAAGTCACCAACTTTAGCTCTAAGCTCATCAATTTTCTTATTAAAATTCGTCTCTATTTTAATTTTCCCGTTTCTCAAATCACGGAAGGTTTTCTTCAAAGCTGCATTCTCACTAAGAGCGATCCTTCCATTCACCACTCTGATTGAGTGAAGTCTGATGTCCTCTTTGTGCAAATATCTAAATATTAGATTCCAAATGTACTTGAGCATTTCCATTAAGATCTCGCTATTTTCCCACTCTTGCTTCAGTGAATCTAAAATATAAAGAAGATCAAATTTTAACTCTAAAGACAAACTTACCGATCTTTACTTTAGCTTCTGAAAAATTAGTCCAGTTCTTGCCTCTTATGAGCTTCTGAAGATCTTCTTCACATTGGTTTACTCTCTTTCTTAATTTTACCAATGTTTCGAGCTGATAGTTCCATTTATGGCTGAGAGTTTTGTCATAACCAATAGTTGACTCTACTGATTTGATACTCAAATTGACTATATGGAAAACTGGTGAGTCTCCATCAGAATAACTTTTTATTTATCTAAAATTTAAACACTTCGAAACAAAGAATAGGTGAACCCCCAAATATGAACAAGCGCTTATGGCTCATGCATAACATAGTCTATCTCCCTCTCTTCTTCTCTCGAAGTTCCTCAGAAGTCAAGGATTGAGTTTCAGCATACCTAGCTCGAGAGCATGCTCGCATTCCCTGGGATCTACGAGTGTTATCACATTGTCTTAATTGTGGATAGAGTTTGAACACCACCCGCACACATATCTTTCACGGTAAGTAACATAACGTGTTGCCTTTTTGTTGCAGTGAGGCAGGTAGCAAGTTAGAGCTTCAAATCTCTTCATTTTTATTTAATTATTAGCAAGTTCTTGGCATTTATACTGTCTCGGGGTTTTGGGGTTTTGGGGTTTTGGGGTTTTGGGG